CTCAATGCCACGACCTAAGTGTGAGCAGATTTAGGAAGGAAGGATCGCGCGCGGTCTATAGCTCGTTTATTAAGGTGCGCCGACTACCTCCAAGATTTTACATTATCATAATGCAGTATTAGTATCACAAATAATACTGCAAATATTAATCCATTCATATAACATATTCAAGTTACATTGAAATGAGACTTATAATTGCATTTGTTATTTTGACAGAGATCATGTGTTAATAACAAATCGAACTAGACATTTCGCAGTATTGTAGCAGCCTAGCAGCATGAAATGTTTTTTTATTGATTGATTAATGATTCTGGGTGCTTCGCCTACCAAGGTCAACAGTCTCGTAAGCGTAGTGCATGTTTGTGTCACGGGAGATGTCAGTGATATTCCTCCACCGGATGGCGAAATCCGGCGCCGACCTGCCCATCGGCTAGCGAGTTTTTCCCTACCCGGTATCTCCCACCAGTGGGGCATCGCCCCAGCCGAGACAAGCTCTAAGCTCCCGACCGGTCTCCTGGCTTGTGTGGTAGTGTAGTGCATGTAAGTGTGTGTAAGAGGTGAGGATATAGCAAGAAAGAGGAAGGAAACGTCGCGTGCGGTCCGTTGGACGTTTCTAACTGATTCGATACTGCTTGAGCATTCGCGGGAGAAACCGCGTAAAACTACTGATCAAAGCAGCCGGCGGCTAGAATTCTCCGCCAGGCAAAGGCTGAATTCGACGTAGCTCACAAGATAGTGACACCGTCGGAACTCGAACCTAGAACCTCCCAGTCAGAGGCACTGCAGCGACATCAGTTGATGCCCTGAGCGACCTCTCCCGTCCATGATCTTCTGAATACGTAGATGCGCATCTGTCAGAACGTCACAATAACTGTAAACTCTTCGGCATTCCCTAACCGTTTCACGCCATCCGCCGCCTTCTGCAGCCGACTCTCCACTCCATGGCCTTCACATCCCCTCCCCTCCCCTCATTTCCCCTCCTTCGCCGCTCCCCTCCAACGGCGCGTGGCAGCGTCGACCTCCCCTTCGAGAGCGCGAGCCGCTCGCCGGGGCTCGGCGACGGGAGCGCCCCACGTCGACACTTTCTTACAACTTTCTTCTTCCTCCTCCGTGTAACTCCGCCGGCCGCCGTCGCCGCCGCCCAAGACGTTGGCGCTCCAAGACGCCGCTCGGCTTTTCTTTTCCGCCGCCCCGCGTCTTATTAACTCGCCGCCGTCGCCGATAGATGGCGCTGCAAGCGCGGAAAAATCGCGGCGCGTCGTGCTGCGGCAGGGCCAGTCGAGAGCTTGCGCCCGAGGGGGCGGCATGTCGCACCTCTGCGCTGCGCGGCTGTCGAATGTTTTTTTGACGTTTAAATCATATTTACGCCAACCATCATATCATAGTATAGAGAGATTACTAAAAGATGGGACTTCTTTGACAGCTACTACTTGGCTACTGCTGGCAACAAAACTGCAGATTATGACCATGCACTCAATTCGTCAATGTGTTACTTTGCAGTTCGCTCATTTGCAAATAGCTTCGCCACTACCTATTGCAATGCCAGCGTACAATATGATGTTCTTTTGTTTCATCCTGACAAAATGGACACTTCTCAGACTAACTTCAATGTATAAATGGTTGCTTGTATAACTGATTGGAGTCCACCGCTTAAAGTTTAATTTTATTTGTTTTTGAGGGTTTTGCTAAATTAATACAATGGGGTAGCTAATTACATATACATGCGTTCATTTTAAACGAAAAAGTATTCAATTTCATGCATTGCAATGCTCTGTAAAAGACCCACATGCTCGCATCAATATTTGAATATAATGACAAAAGCTAATTGAATTTTTATGTAAAATAAACTCTGATATATCTTGATTGATTGATTAATTAATTGATTGGCGATTCCGGGCGAGTCAACTAATAAAATCAATAGTCCTGTAAGTGTAGTGCGAGCTTTAACCAGGGGAGGCGGCAGAGATCTTCCCAATTGATGGCGACATCCGGCGCCGACCTACCCGTCAGCTTGAGGTTTTCCCCAAGCAGGTATCTCCCACCAGCGGGGCATCGTCCCAGTCGGGCAAGATCTAAGCTCCCGCCCGGTCTCCCGACATGTATGGTAGTATATTTAAGTGTGTCTGTATGTAAGGAGATGAGGATAGGAAAGAGGAAGGAAAGATCGCGTGTGGTCCTTGGCCCGTTTGTGAAGGTACTGCTCCGGTATTCACCAGGTATTGACCAACGAAACCACAGAAAATTACCGACAAGAGCAGCCGGCCAGAAGCATTCTTCTCCAGACAGCGGCTGAATTCGACCTGGAATCGTAGCTAGTGTTGAAAATCCAGTCACGTGTACCATCGGGACTGAAACCCTAGCACCTCGCGGTCAGAGGTACTGCACTGACATCATTGATGACACTGCAGTGCCTCTTCGATCTTCATAAAACCCACAAAAGTTGGAGTAAACTAAATAAATAAACTAAATATAATATAATATATTCACTTGTAACATTATAATATTTATCTGCAATAAGAACGAATTAGCGGAGTATTGGAGTGTTTTGTGTAATTCTGAATATTGAAGGTATGATTAGTTATTTTATTTTTTAATAGGTAATTATTACAAACGAATTAGATTACTTGATCCTATGTGGCTAGGCCGAAGGCCTTTAAGCCATTACAATACCTACATCCTTTCGCGTTCTAATCTTTCGAATTCTGGTATTCACCCCAAATGATTAGTTATTTTAAAATATAACGATGTAATAGATGCACGTTTCTAAAACCACTCCCCTCGACTGCGTGCGATTTTGGATCAGCCATATATGCAAGCAGAGTGTTATTAAAAGGAAGCTCGTTTAATGAAAATTATAAATTTCTTGTTGTCATCACCATTGCCGCAAGAAACCACAAGATTGAAACAAAATATACTCAAATCTCATATTATCAAACGCCCGTTTTCTAGTCCATTGCTATGAATACTTAATTAGTCAGCTTAGCCTGCGATGTGTGTGTGCATTATACACCTAAACTTTCATTACTTTTGTCCGCATTATCGTGACAAAACGATAATTCTAACAACTTTTCAAGTATCCTATTTATTTCAAAAACTAAACTTCTGCGTTCTGACTAGTTAACTGGACGGAATGTTTTTAATTGTTGGATAGTTTATTCGAAATATTATTGTCATTATAGGAAATCACGGTCGAGGTTGTTAGTATATCGTTTGTAAATCAAGGCGATGGCTCATCATTTGTATTTTCGTTTAGCCATTGTATGTCCGGAAAAGGGAAATTTGCCTCGGTGCCAATAAATAGCGGGGCTCGTAGTCTGACTGCACCCAACCAGGAACCCGCGATGTCTCATTCGCTTAACCCTTGTGACTTCACGTAGTTAACGAATTCGGCTACCGACGCCACTTTTGCGGTGGCGGCCTTTCAGTGGAACCATTCGAGCATTCGCCTTGATGACCGAGGGAAACCACGAAATCTCCGATCCGGATGGCCGTCACGGGATTGAACCCGGGCCTCCCGACTGCGAAGTCCGCGCTGCGCAGTAAACCACTTCGCTCCGTGAGCCAGAATTATTACCGACGAAATATTTTACTCTTGATATCGACTGTATATGCAGATTTCCTGGAAGGAAACGTCGAAAACAAGTTCTTAAAACAACTTTAAGCATATTTTGTATAATCAACTACTTGGATATTCACAATGGCTGATCCGAAATAAACACTCAAAAGTTGCTTTGAAAAAAACTGTTTCTAGGCAAAACTTTCCTTGCAGAAGCACAGAAACACTTCATAAACATGTAAATTGTTTATTATTTACAAAAAAAAATTAATATATTTGTTCAGAAAGAGAAAATGTGACACATAAAAAGCACCTAATTTGCACAATCTTCTGCTTTTTTTATTTCTGGGTTCATTTTTTTTCTGAACAAATGTATTAATTTCTTTTGCAAATAATGAACAATTTACATGTTTATGTAGTCTGCTTCTGCAATGCAAATTCTTGCCTAGATACAGTATTTTTAAGCCTTGTGAATGTTTATTGCCGCTTGGACAAAACATGCTTAAAATTGTCTTAAGAACTTATTTTCGAATTTTCAATGATATCTTTTCGACAACATGTATTTTACACCATCATAATAATAAATAATCTAAATAAGACAATTTTATTAAAAGGATTCTCAAATTTTATATTTACCTACACCTAATTGTTCGATTATTCTTAACGGCATGTTAAATCCTCAACGAACGCCGAGCGTTAACAGTAGCTATTCATATGGTTGCGTTCACTTGCTCTCACTGTTTTAAGTGGATAAATCAATGTAATTTTACGAGAAGGTAAATTATGAATGTCATTTTAAGAAGACATTTCACAAATCTTCATCCCCAATTCAAGCCACTTACAAGGATACTGAAACCGTATTATTATACATTTTACAGGACGTTGCCCACCAAGTCAAAATAACTTTTTCTTCGAGCTTCTTGGTTTAATTTTGAACGTTCATTTTACCTTTTAGAGTTCTTAGAATTGAAAAAATTAAAAACTTTGATGATATATTCTGACAGTCATCTTCAGAATCTTACATCCTTCTCTTTCGTATATCTAAAAATTTTTAAAGCAACAAACATTTTACAATGTTAATTCAACAGATGTTGGAATATATTCAGTATAGTTCATTTTTACCTTACATATCTTTATTTAGAGATATAAATCTTACAAGTGTGACATAAGTAGCCTGACGCAATTCATTAATCACAAAATAGTCATTCATAAAACCTTGTACCAGCTCATGTAATAATAAACTGGGTATTCCTTAACCCCGATGACGTCACAATTCTGGAATTTCCTGTATTATTGTTTTTATAACTTATTCTAGTAAGAACTCCATTATCATAGCAAAAGGAAAAAAATCTGGTGACCTTAATCCCCAAGTGATTAGAATGTATCCACATTGAAATTTGTCCTCTAAGAGAACGATAAATGGCAATGGACCAATTGATGATAAGCGGTCAGTTATACTACTCACTGGTTAGTGATCGGTTCGTGTAACAATGTTTTCAGTATTTGTTTGAAGATAAACATCTCTGCCTATTTAGATAAATTATTATAGATATTGATTTCGTGTAGTGTAAAGGCACATATATGAAATATGTTTGTATTGCCTGCGTAATTGTTTTGTAAATGTAAATCAGTTAAAGTTATACTTCTTACTTGATAAGATTATTGAACAGAAATCGGGTAAGTAATATTGATTACAATATATTAACATTTATACATAGAAGAGTGGGGTAACTTGTTTTATCAACTCATTGTGTTTTTAACTATTTTAAGAAAGTGTCTAACAACTCTCTTCAAATCTATTAACATTTTTGCATATTTTTTCTTTTTCTTAATACACGAAACTACATTATTTATCGGCAGACATATCCTGCGTGGCACAGTATTTGGATAGCCTTCGTGTATACGAGTGTATGTGCTTTAGGTAGGTTTAAAAAAATGTTAATGTTAGTTAGGTTAGGTTAATGAAAGTTTTTTGATAATTGTGAAGGTTTATACAGAAATGATAGATAGCTCATTCAATTCTTCTCGGCAACAATTTATTGACACCACTTTTAGCCGGATCCGTCTGAAATATTTTTGAAGAATTGTAGTTAGTTATAACAAACTTTGTTTTTTAAAGAAGCTTTCAATGGATATTTTTCCTGTGGCATTCTATTAAACCGCGAATGGACGAGTTAGAAAAAAATGCAACATTTAAAATTCGTTTTTAATATAAACTTGCATTACCAAAATAAAAAAAATAAAAAACAAAATAATTAATATAACTTGCATTACCAAAATATAAAAAGATACAATTACCCCTTGGAATCACCACTCTAATCTAGTTATTAACGTCATTAGTCACTTGTGGGATAAATGAGTGCAGACGAGAATGCAGTTCTTTGTTTATATGATGTGTTGGCATGTTGGCATAATTTTCGTAATACGCCTTTCACATAACCATAATTCATACTTGTATGAAGAATATTCTTTGGTTTGAATATAGGTATTGATACGCTATGTTTCGTCTCAACTTCTTAATTTGTTTCTATACGATTGGATTTATTTTGATTTTTTTAAAATTTCCTACTGGGTTGTAGTCTATCTCATTAAAGAATCAACACTATTGAATTAAGTAGCATAGTAAAATTGATATCTATAATCAATAACATTACACATAAATACTAAGAACGCAGTTTTGCAACCTTTTTCTACAGGATCATTCTTTTTTAAGTGGTTCAGAATTTAAGAAATTGGTCACATCATCTAAGAAAAAAATGTATACTTTTTATATAAGTTCCCTTTTGTTTTGGTTCTTCATAATTGATTATTAAAAAGTATTGTTCATGGTTCACAAATGGCAGGCAATTTCATTTTAAGCCACGCGCCGTTTTTCGCGTGTGTAAACATTTATGGTTTTCTCAAATACTCACCGCTAAGTTGTTGAAGCTTTTTAAACTAAAATGCATTGGATTCAGTACCATCTGTCATAAAAATGAAAGTTATCAGTTTATCAGCCTAATATTCCTTTTTTGGAGTAATATTTGCAACCAAAAATATCGGATGTGAATAAACAAATTTTGATTTTCAGAGTATTTTTTAAGGAACAAACCGAACCATATTTTCCTTTTTACAAAACCGTAAATGACTACAAAAAAGAAGGCTTGTGAACAACGTTCATTTTTTAAACAGATTTCAACAACCGGAACATAGGGGAGTTTATATAAAAAGTATGATTTTTTTCTGAGATCGTCGCGCAACCAACCCGGACCACTTAAAATGGACTGCCTCTATACAGTAAGTGAGTTAATGATGAACCTTGGGCGTCTTTCCACGGATATTAGCACACGTTCGTTAAAATAATTTTCCCGTCTCGCAGTATCAAGGGTGAATGTCGTTACTGTTATATTAAGTGTTGTATGATGTCTGACTGCTCTCAGAAGATGGAATCGTCATTCACAATTGCAGATATTGCGAACTCGTGAAAGTTGATGCGAAAATCGTAATATTCCAGTATTACTTCTGGGTACTCAAGACTCTATACAACTCAAGACTCAAAAACCTATGTAATAATAGAGACTTCGAAAGAATGGTGATGTTTCTATATTTGTGCAAATCTGTAGTTACAAAATATTGCAAATTTGGAGTGAAATAAGCTTGATCCATGTAGAAAAAATAGTTTTCTTAGAAAGGATGACCCTTTTTGTCTAGTTTGATAGTGGTTTTTACAATGCCGGTTTTTACCATTTGTAACCTCTATTATCTCGCATGAAAAATAATTTGTTTTCTGTTTATTATCTCCCCTCCCTTCTAAATCTCATAATATACGTTACATATGTATATCAAGGTTAAGATCGTTATGTAGGGTTTAAGCTTTATTTAATATTCTCATTTTAATTACGTCAGAGTGATTACGATGGTTCGGAAGTATTTTGATTGCAATAAAAAAAAGCTTCATAACTAAGGAATTGTTTTAAAAATCTGTGAACAAGGTCAAATTTTTTGCTCTTTATGTTGATATATGCAGATTATAATTTTCAATGAAAGTTTTGAATAATTTAATTATTCAGTATATATTGTATATACAGGATGAGTTACGTAACTTAAGCCCCTCCTATAATTTTTGAACGGTTGAAATTGTTGCAATGCGGTTTTTACGGAAGTGCATGAGAGAATGGGGCTAATTGGTGTATGTATTCGTTGTCATTTTATCACTTGTATTTTACGAGATTGACGTAAGGTTGTGTTTTTGACATAGAATTATATATATATATATATATATATATATATATATATATATATATATATATTTAGTCTATAATGTGCGTAAAAAGACGAATCCAATGATTTATACATCTTAGACAAGCAATTTGCATTGTAATAAAAACAATAAACAACCACTTAGGTAGCCAGATAATGATCGCTACTAAAACATACTTGACCAGGGTTTTCGTAACATTCACAATTTTTTACTAAACTGATAACTGGTTGTTTATTGTTTTCAACAAACCTAGACTCTATAATTTTGAGAAAGATCCCAACTAGGGTCGAAAGTCAAAGAAATAAATTGTTAAAAATATTTTAGTGTATTTTACTAAGGTCAAGAAACAATTACTATCAAAATTATACATATTATTGAATTTCAGGTTTCCAGAAAATGGCGTCGTACTTGCAATCGTCAGCAAAAATGTTGATGTTCTATATAATGCTTTTCAGTATTACTTATGCTACCCACGATTTAGCGTATCCAATTTCAAGAACATTACGGTAAGCAACAGAGACTCCTGCAAGGTATAGTGCGCTTAAATCAACTATTGAATATTATAATAACTTAAGGCAAAAAATCGTTATCTGAATAAAATTGAATTTCAAAATTATATGCGACATCATGAAGTTTTACGTTAAGTTATACAAGACACCAACTAACTAGTCTTGTCAATTGTCAAAGGAGTTGAAGTACGCTTTCAGCACTTTTCCACGTAAAAAGATTATATTAAGTCTCAGTTGCTCTCACTGTTTTGAATTTCACCTCTACTATTGTCAACGAACGATAAAGACTACTCAATTTACTAAATTATTTGTTTGAAGCACAGTAGAGAATGTCATGTAAGAGTTTTCTTGAGTTTAGTGACCTTTCAATTTGATTTGACAGTAACAACGTTACGAAATGAACAAAACAATGAAAGAATACTAGTCTCTAAATCATTTTAATATAAGAATAATAAGTGTTTAAAATGTCTAGAAACAAATTTACATTAAGCAGCCTCTGAACTTTTGGCTTAACTGTCAAAGCGAAACTTCTTACACATTTTAACACTTCAGCTACTATGTACCTAAATGGGACGCAAATTGTAGCATGAATAATTTCTCTACCTGAAAACATAATTGTGCTTTTCGAATTAGTTTATTAACATTTTCCTATATTTTCCATTGAGCAGTATTTTAACGTTTGAAAAATAAAATTATAGCATATACCTATCAGTAAGCAAAAGTATTTAAGAAAAGAGACGTTTACGTACAATAAAGTGATAAAGTCAGAGCGTACGACGTTGGCGCGGCCGGAGTCCGTGTGACGCCGCGTCCATAGCAAAGGTCATTACGTCAGGCAGTGCGCCCCGAGGAAGGTCGCAGAATGGCGACCGGAACATCGGCGTAAATAAAGTGATAAAGGATCTTAATAGTTCCTAATGTTATTTCAAATTGCAGTCATTATTAAACTCCGAACAAGAAAACGATAGAAATTTCTTTGAGGACTCTCTGTAATTCTAACTGTGAATCTAACTGTGAATCCAAAAACTAAAAAAGAATCGACGATTTTCAAAATCTAAAGATCACTGTTATGTTAGTAGCACCAATCATCGGGCAAGTCAACTGGAAATATCTACCGCTATATGCTTGGACTCGCAAAACTCAGAATTTTCATTGTTGAGGAAGCTAATGCTTTTAATAATTTCTTTCGAAAGTTTCTGAATTTTCACCATGTCAGCAATACTACTTTTTACGGAAACACGTAGCGGTCGAGTAGGAGTGGCATGAAACTGACCATGCAACGGATTCTATTCACTTTTCTGTTTAAAAGACATACCAATGTATCTCCTTATGTTGCAGACTGACCCGGAAGACACGTCAGGTGAATGCTATCAGCACTTCGCACATAGACAACAAACGTCCTACAACAATACAAGAGGGCCTTGAAGAGTTGGCTACCCATGCCACTGACATGTCAACAAAAATTGACATCTTGAAAAATGCATTCAAACAACAATGTCCAATATATCAGATGAGCCAATTTTCCACGGAATATTTTTTATCTCCCACGACTTATATTCATTCAGATATAAAAGAAATGTTTCAGCAGTGCAAGCGTGAAGAATTTTACCCTTGTCAGGAGGACTTGCCATTTTACGCAGCTGTAAAATATTTGGATCGTGGACATTTTTCAACAGTTCGCTGTATTTTGGAAATGGTAATTACATAACATAAATTCAAATATGATGTGATTTGTACGGTACGTGGCACCCCTCTCATAACATTAATTCAAGAAATGTTTTAAATAAATAAACACAGCAAAGCAACAATAAAGATATATACAATTTTTGCAAATTGTTTGTCAACCTCATCAGGCACAGCAAAATCTGTGATCAACCACTTTCTTGAAAATACTCGTAACATAGTAATCGAAATTATTATTGCAAAGAAACAAACAAACCTTTCAAACTGTGACGTACCTAGTGCGTACATCCTCCTTTAAACATGACATTCAGGGAAAGTCTAGCGGCCGGGAGTCTGGAGGAGAATTCTAGCGGCCGGCTGCTCCGGTCGCTAGTTTTCCCTGGTTTCTCAGATCAACATCAGGCGAATACCGGGAAACCCCACACATGACGGGAGACCGGTCGGTATTTAGGAGTTTGTCCCGGTTGGGGCGGTGCCCTGCTGGTAGATGTCTGGTTAGAGAAATCCCTCTTAGCGCATAGAAGGTCGGTGGGGGATCTCACCATCCAGAGGGTTATGATCATCGTCGCCTCACAAGGAAAACATGTACTACACATACGGGACTAATGACCTTAGCGGTTAACACGCCCGAAATCCCTAATCAATTGAAACCTGAGTTTAACTGGACATTTATGTTCGCAGAACAGTTCATATGTTCATCTGCGGGATGAGAACGGAGACACAGCCCTACACTGGGCTGCAGCACAAGAGAACCTCTGCATTATAGCTGGGCTTCTCAATTTTGGGGCGGTGGTAAATGCGCGTGGAAGGAATCTACGTACCCCTTTACACCACGCGGCCTCAAATGGTCGCTTGGATGCCATCAGCATGCTCATAAAATGGTAAGTTGTACACTTCATTATTTAGTAACAAAATACATTCAAAACTCCTCAACAATATCTTATTTAGCAGAACAAAAAGTTAGATACCTATAAGAAACATGTTGAATTTCAATCGAACAATTCTCAGATAAATCCCCTCCTCGCTTCGCGAGTCGGGGAAGTATCGACAATCTTCAAAGCTTTCGTGGTATTAACGATGACAAACTTCTTATGAAACGATTGGACCAACACTTGTATGAGGTCACAAAAGACTCTTCCACTTGTATTTTTACTCAACTAAATAAATTTAAATTAAACTAGCCATCAGATCAATATTAATGCAACACAGATTTTGGCAAAAATATTACAATAAAAAATATTAATTAAAGAAATGTTTCATATGAATAAACTCAGCACAAAATATACAGACAATTTTAGCAAATTGTTTGCCAACTTCATCAATAGGCAGGACAAACGAACTGCTGTGTTCAAATAGTTTTTTTAAATTATCTTAAGAGACGTGACAGCTTATAACTGTCATTTTCAAAAAAATGTTTGTAGTCAAAATTGGACAAGGATGACTATGTCTTTAGAGGTGTACTTGTGAATACGATATATTTGCTTATGTGGTAAAGTTTACTTTTATAGCACCAACGTCATTACTTCCTTTTCAACGGAAAACATACATGTGTTACATCCCCAAGACGAAATATTGAAAAATCTGAATTGTTAGTTGTGTTGGTAATGTTGGTAAACATCGGTAACCAACGTAATATACCATGCACATGAATATGTTTGTTAACTATTATTAACTTCTAGGCATATATTTTATGTTAATTAACTTTTACCGGATAATGACTGAACCAGAGAGATAAATATGTTGTGGTCACTGTGAACTTGGGATGTCAGTTTACGTGATGCAGTTTTTAAACCAGATTTCCTTGGGCCATTATAAATTGTTACGATGGATTTTATAATTATTTTTATCGACTGCCTCTACAAAGTATTAACTTAGGATGCAAATTCAAGTGATTAGCTTTTTAAACCTGAACACCCTGGAACTACTGACGAAACAGAATGTATTGTAGGGAATGTAAATTTCTTTCTTTGTCTCGTTATTTACAACTACAATTTATTACTTACGAACCTGAATCACTTAACAGTTGTCAGTCTATTCAACTTGAATTTAGCATAAGATCAGTCGTTATAATTTACCGTAGTTGTTAACTGAATTTCGTAACTATGCTTCGTGAAGTCAAGAAAGTGAAGCAACTCGAGATACCACTGATTCCTGGATGTGTGATAGTCTGGGAACCCCAATTATTTTATGGCTCCGAGCTCTTGGCCAAAGGCATTGACTGACAACAACGTGACGAGACAAAAACACAAATAATTCAGAGAGGATTACTTCAGATTTATGGACTCTAAATGGCAAAGATGAACTGAGAGACGTGTTGGGAAAAAGACGCAACAATTTAAAAAAAATGAATATATATTTTTTGCAGCGGTGCAGATGTCAACGCCATTGATGCCGCAGGAGACACTCCCTTGACGTTATCAATGCTTGGCAATCACATCAACGCCTCCTTTTATCTCCTGTCCAACGGTGCATCGCCTAATACGAAATACGAAAACGGCGATACGCTGCTGCTGAGAGCTTTGAAAGACAATCGCTTGGACATGGCAAACAAATTACTCAATTACGGAGCATCTATATCACTAAAAGGCAAAACAGGGGAATCTCCTCTGACTCTCATCGCAGAAAAAGGTGACACTGAAATATTGCGGGTAAATAAAATGATTATCTACTTCTTTGTGTTAAATACTTTTTATGCATGGCCCTTTTTTCTGTAAGATGTACGAAAAAAATTGTGTAACGAATGTGCCAACAGGATTATCATTTCAATAAAAATCATTCATACTTTGCAATTCGGAGTTGTTTTGGCTGAGAGAAATCCAGAGATACATATCGTATTAGTTGTACCATAATCATTCACCTACTGATTGCAGTTGATATTGATTCGTATTCAATGTTCCACTACACTCATCTATTATCTAAAATTATCATAGTAACAGTATACTTCTTCAGGAACCCCTACTCCACCAAGTCATTTTCAATATTTCTTTTGAGGTCTATTTTCATCAATTTGAAACAGTTTTGCACTTTCGTCTCTCAGACGACGCAACTAGTGCCGAAAGCTTCCCCCACCCCCTTCCCCTCACTGCCCGTTTCTCAAACTACCTTCATTGTGTAACAAGTCCGTGAATTACCTGTATGGTTGCGCGCGTACCAATTCCAGTATACGCCATTTTAACACGTGTCCTCTAAGAGACTACGCCTTTGCAGTTACGTCAGTAATAGTTTTGGTACTTTATTGGCTAATATTGTAAATAATGAATACAAAATCCTTGTCTTGTAGCATTTAAGTGTTTCTATAAAGATTTAGTATTCATAATGGGGCGATCGTAACAAAGATCGCGTGATGAGGTCCTTCTGCGGATGATTATCAAAAGCCATGTGTGGATAGCACCAAGCAAGTGTCTGCTGTGAGTGACAAGTCATTTAGGTGTATCTATAAAATCCTTTAAAATGTGGTCTGTAACTCCATATCGTACACGTTCAATCTATTAAATTTAGTGGCTTATTACCAAAATTATTTTCTTCTTTATTTGTACTTCTCCGCGAAGGAGAAGAGAGAGAAAATTTAAAAACGCTGCGCGCATAAATGGCTAATTTTCGGTAGAAAACTCTTAATACAAGGCCCTGGCAACAAAAATGTGAGTAAATCAGCTGCTACATTTAGACAAAAATCCTCTATCACGCGATGAAGCCAGAACCCATGTTTTGTGGGTCCTTGATATCGAAAATTCGAATGACGGCAAAACCTCTGCCTGTCCATTTGTGAACAACGCTAGTGGCTAAACCGTTCAGCCGATTTTCCCCCAAATTGATATTTCCCAATCGATCTGTCTGATGTCGCGACCTCTTGAATTTGAAACCCATATTTTAATATGAGGTGGGTGGGGGGCTATTTTGCATAAAACTTACTGGATCTATATTTACTTGCCTGTCCGGGTGACGCCGCGTCCATGGCGAAGGCGCCGACGTTTCTGTCGCCATTCTGCGACCTTCCTCAGGGCCTAATGCCGAGGCCCTGAGAAATGGCGCCCACGCATTACGCCCTGAGGAAGGTCACAGAATGGTGACCGAAACGTCGGCACCTTTGCCATGGACGCGGCATCACCCGGACAGCCAAGTAAATACTGACTCCGGCCGCGACAGCCTACGCTCTCACTTACTAGATCTTCTACTGTAGTCTACTGAACCACGATTGTTAAAACGGCATCTATCGGAAATAAGCACGCGCAAAACGATAAGTATATTTGACAGCCTGGTCACCTAATGAATGAAAACAGATTTTCAGAAATGGGGAGTGAGGTAAAGGGATATGGGAAGCTTTCGATGCTAGTTGCATCGTCTTCCAGACGATGCCTATATAATATAAGGTCGGGAATTCAGAAGTTTAGAACAAATTGAAATAATTAATTCTAATAACTAATTCTCACAATAATTAAAAATTTTGATCTTAAATGGCAGGAAAATTTTGATATCTTTGATTATAAAATAGATAAATTATTTTCAATTTCGTTTACATTCTGGAGTAGTTCATCTGCAAGGTAGTTCTTTGATATTAGAATTTACATTACATTATCTGAATTATTTGTTTACTTGAATCTACATGATTAATTGGGTTATGTTTTCATTCTATCAATTGTGTGTTATGTTTTAGGTGTTGGAAAGAGGCCAGTTAAAGTTTATCACTCTTTTCTAGATAATAATCAATGCTTAAATCTCGGGGCGGATTTTGATTACCTAAAACTTTGCCATAAAGATCAATAAAATGCTTTTAAAATTTTTCTAAAAGTCTTAAAAGCAAAATTAAATTACGTAAAAAAAACTTTATCAAAACGAGTTCGGATGACCAACTCTAGCTGGAAATGTTACTGATGTAATCAAGACTTTTATTCGTCTATGTGCACTCAGTTTGCAAATGTTGGTTTTGACTCTACCAGAAATATCTGTCTTTAGTTATCCCGAAATTGGCCGAACCGGCAATGGCGCTGATAAGCGTGACAAAATCCTTTTATTACATACTTCAAACAGCTGACAGTAAATTTCTGAGCAAAGAAATCGAATGGGCTTCTCAGGAATTTTGCGGAGAACATTTGTTGTAACTCGTAAATATTATTTGATACAAATACCATTAAAATTACATTACAAGCGATGAAATCAGCGAAAAATGCATTAAAAATAACAGGAAAAAGTGAAAAATTGCTTATTTGCCGAAATCGACGAAAAATGCAAAAAAGAATTAAATTTCGTCATTTCCTTTTCATAACAAAATTAATTTCTATACTAAACGGCATTGTGCTACATCGAAAACAAAAAGTGACATTTCATTAAAATCCGCCCATACTTAAAACAAATTATTTCCAGTCCTTTGCATTAAGTCAAATAAAGCACAACGTAGTCTTTGTCACAAATAAAGAGTCAAGTTGGAAATAGTCATCAAAACTAATATCACTTCTTATAACATTTTGTGTAGTCTGATTTCATATAAAATGCTTTTATTTTACTAAAATAATGTATGCAACTATTTTATGATGTTACTTTTTTGCCCGACTAACAATTATCTAACGAACAACTCTAGCAGCGACTTCGGTAACTCTTATTCGTGCAAAATAGTTAAGCATTGTAAACTAGCCCAATACACAATTTTTGCAGACCATGCTGAACTATGCGAAGCCGAGCGATACACAAGAACTAGTTCGAGCTTTACAAGTGGCCAAAGATGGAGTAGTGGTATGGGTTTTCGCCGATACGGTGCCGTATCTGTTTCTGGGGCAGCCTGGAGAGAACGCTCTCTTGCAGTCAACAAAGCGATGCCAAGAGGTACGATTATTTTTTTAGCCGATCTCAAAGGAAATAGAAGATGTTTAAAGAAGTCTTTTGTACTAGTATTTATTTTGATGGGCATAGTTATACTAGTATTATGATTAGTTTGATCAGTATACATTTTTCGTAGCCAGAAATAATTCTTAAAATGACATTTTATGGACAGCAGAGACGTTTATTGCATCAATCATTGTGTTATCTTCAGCGAATTGGAGCGATCGAATTGCAACGGGCGAATAGTGGAGAGGTGATGGTAAACCACACACCAGGTCATTGTTTGGCATATAAATATGCGTACGACGTAACACCAACGTCCGTATTACCAATTAAAAATCTTTTCTTACGAATTTGTTTCCGAAAGGATTTTTTTTATAAATTGATAATGCTGTTATTAAAAATATAGCATTAGCGGTTTTTCAATATTGATTTATTTCATTTCTACAAGTTCAAATTTATTTGTAACGTTAATTTCTAAAGTCAGTTCTTTTACAATAAATCTTGACATTGTACAGTATTTGCATAATGTACTATTGTTTGCCCACAGGACATAACAAAGAGTTTGATTTCTTTGGGCGTTGACCCAAACATTGTCGATGAGAATGGCAAGTCTCCACTCCGTTTGGCCACAGAGAATAACTGTACGGCCTGCGTAGTCATCTTAAAGGAGCAGGGGGACCAGCCGTTGCCTACAAAAGAATCTACTCCCCGGACAGTAGCTACAAATAGAGATGATGGAATGTTAGGCAAGTATCGCTGTTGATGAAAGAGGTGAAACGTTCTTCAACTTCCTTCAATTATCTTCAACATAAAATGTTTATGAAGTGATTCATATCTATATTATTCAAGAATTGTTATTACACGCCTCCAAAGACACAGTTTTACATAAAATTATTAACATCGGGTTGTTGCGTTGTTTTTTGTGTCGTTTTGTGGTGGATTAACGCCTCGCCTCTTTAGGTATTACTCAAATGAATATGAAGATTATATACAGAAACAACATTATAAAACCTCACAGAGCAACTGAATGATAATAAAAGCCCCTCCATAATCATCTTAAAGGACTAGGTGGTTCGGACATTCGGGTATCTCTTGCACCTGGGTGGAGGCGCCCGAGATGGAACAAGCGATAGACTCCCGGCATGTGTGATAGTGTAGAGCATGTGAGTGTATGTGGGTCAGGAGTGAGGATAGAGGAAGGACGAGGAAGAAACAATCGCCAGCGGTCCGTGTCCTGTTTGTTAGGGTACTTCTCCGGCATTCACATGGTGTTAAGAAACCACGCAAAATCCATCTATTAGACTAGTAATAAGTTTTATCAACTCTTGTAGTTCACCTCTGTAAGAATTTATCATTGCTCTTATTTCATCTATCACTAATTTGAACCCAAATTTCAAACGCAATAATTCCTTTAATCTAATTAATTAAGTAAAGAATACATCACATAGAGAAAAATATACAAGAAAAGTATAATGTAGAATCAAATATATGAAATTCCTGATACAATAAACAAAATACATTTTAAATAAAGGAAATATATCGCTTAATGAATGATATTTCTTCTTAAATGGAAAATTTAATTTTTTTAACTTATGTATTGAACTTGACGTTTTCAAATTTAATTGCATATACTGATATACAACTTGTATTAGTTGTATCGGGATCACATTTTTGTGACACAAAAGATCGTCCGTTCCGTCCTCTCTTCCTATTCTGTTCAGACACCACTTCCCGTTCTCCCCCTCGTGTGTTCATTTTATTAATTGATGGTTTACTTCTTTGTTTAATGATTTACTTATTACTGAATAACTTGTTTACTCATCAATTTCCTCACTTAATTACTGTTCAACTTTTACATTCGTACCTTTCAACTTATTTATTTCCTTTCCAGTCAAATCTACGCTCATGCCGCAAACTAAAGCTTTTTTCCCACTCCCTAATTACAGTTTTCCTAATAGTTCGAACCTTTCCTAGATACGTTCCTAATTATTTCAAGAAGCGAGACAAATTATCACTTATTAATTACCGGGCGAGCGTTACGTTTCTATAGCGTACATAGTGTGTCTATAGTCGGAAGTGATAGTTCCTCTTTCCCATCCATTTCACTCTCCATGTTTATGTAGCACAGCAGTTCCAAAGGATGTGGATAAATATTCTTTATCGCCACAGGACACATAAACACATTGCCATTCGAGTCTTTCAAGCTACATTGTTTCAACCCTCAATCAACCCTAAACCAAGAGTATCCACATCATAAGACTCGTGTGAATGTAGGCCACTAAAACACATTTTTTTGCCGTTGCCGACAGGATCGCTTGTCTTTTAATATCCGAAAGTCTATCAGAAATAAACCGTTCTATCTCATGTGTTCTCATACCTCAACCATCTCCGGAGATATGTCTCCCAGATCTGCCCGTTTTAGTAATAGTTTAACATTGACCAGTAGCGTTGATCGCTTTCCTGTAATTTGCAATTGAAATCATCTATGTATACGCATATCTGCCTGTTCACCTGTTAATCTACTCCAAAGCTTAATGGGTTTCATTTTAAAATCTTTCCCCATTCCTACACTACCGATCTCTCTTAAAACGCCGACATTTGTTGCGTATCTGAAAACTCCGAGAATTCATATGGAATAATCTCTTTTCTTGTTTTCCAATCAATATATCCTATCTCATCCCCAGATTTCCGCCCTATAATTTGTTGCTGGGAGAACTAGCGATTTAAGCATTGCGTTGCACTTCTTTCAAGGCAACTCTGGTACATTGAGCACAGCGGCAACAATTTCTTTGAACTCAATTCTCCCTTTCCTTTGCGCCGCCAATACGTGACTATTCCATCCCTTATTCATGAAAACTTTTGCACCAAGATCAAGTGTACAAAGGCAGGTACACAAGTTGTCAATAAACAATCCGTAAATTCATATAAACCAGATAAATATTTATATTTTAGTTTACTGCCTTTCGTAAGATTTTGTTAGAAGAAGTTACAGAAATAAAGATCGTGTCGAAAATTTTTTGGGAAGGTAATGTTGAATTTGACGGTTTTAGTCCATGAGTTCAGCCGCAATTCTAGAAAAGTGTTGGTTGAAGAGATTTGCAACTTTTTACGGACTACTATCTTCTCCTTCGTTATCCTTTAAAAAGACATTCTCTACTAAGTAACAAGATTATGTGGTCGTATTTTTTACGATATTCCACATTGCTTTAGTTTTGTTACTAGCGTTTAAAATATCGTGATTATTTTTCATTATTTTTGCCTGAACTATTACTTTTCTTAAGATTCTCTTGTATTCTTGGAAGTAGAATGGAAACCGGGTGAAACGTTATGATGTTTATAAATAAAGTAAAGCGTTCGTTTGTTTTTACACAACGTAAGAGTTTGTAAACGTTTTGATACGGTGGATATTCTCTAGCACGTAATACCATTTCTCGTTGTGACACCCAATAATTCACTATAAAAAACAACGATTTTCGATTTTTAATATTAACTGCTAGTCCTCATGTCTCACTATACCTTTCTAGGTTGTTTAAACTACTATGTATGTCCTCTATAGTTTCTGAACAAGGAACTACATCATCATCAGAATTTAGTAACTCGGGAATTTTCGGGAACGCTTAAAACTTTAAGTATTTTGTCATCGACATCATCTGTTTGTGGTCCGGCACACTCGGGATTTTAAATTATTGTTTTGTTTTTTACGATGGATTTCGGCTTGACAAAAAATTCAAAACGAAAATTGAATAAAACCACTCTCTATAAATTTGGATTAACACCTTACCATAAGTGAATAGCAACGTATATTTTAATTCATATTAACGTATTTAGAGAGAAGGGTTATGCTAGTATAGTATTTTTTAAAAAATATGATAACATATTATTTTAATTAAAAGTGTTATAAATAGAAACTAAAATTTCATAATTGTATTTTGTACTCTTCTTTCTGAAATTGAATTTCACAAACCATTTGTAGTAATCACAACATTTGCCAGAAAAGTAAGCGAGTAATACCAACGAAATATACAAATACTAATTGAAAACAAATATTAGGTGCAGTGGAGTGAAAAAAGTCTGTCGGACTTATTTCTCAGTATTCAGAGTACATTGTAGCAACTTCATTCCATTCGAAAGTTACAAATTACGATTATTAGAAGACGATAGAAGAATTGATTCATTATGAAGTAAGTCCAACAAATTAAGTTAAATTGAATCAGAGGAGTAATCATATTTAGTGGATACACCTCATTTGCGGAGTGATTTTTAGAACTCTGTGAATAATCAATCCCATTCGAAAATGTACCACTTTAGAACCTTGATACATAATCAACTATTGTTATTTACAGAGAGGTGGCTGAACAAGACAAAACATTTAGAAATGGCAGACGAAGATGGAATGACGCCTTTATTCCGAGCATTAAAAAACAGAAATGCTGAGAAAACCGAAGAATTACTGAAAGCAGGAGCACATCCTAATAGAAAATCCTTAAATGGATGGACCGCACTACACTATGCATCATTTAATTGCAGCCTGAAAGCGTTACATATTTTGATTCCTAAAATTGAAGAACTCAATGCAAGGACAGATACAGGATCCACACCGTTGCATATAGCAGTTGAGAATAATCAGTGTCATTGTATACCAATTCTATCACAAGGCGGAGTAGATGTGAACTCGAGACGACACGACATGTTCACGCCCCTACATATTGCTTCGGCTTTGGGATTCACCACATGCATTTTAGCTCTTCTGGCGGAAAAAGCAAATCCTAACCTGAAAGACAGAAACGGATGGACTCCCTTACATGTAACGGCAGAGAAGAACCATTGCCAGAACATACGAGTCCTGATTGAGGGCGGCGCCGATGTGAATTCAACGCGAGACGACATGTTCACACCGCTACACGTAGCAGCTCACTGGGGTTTTATGCCATGCATAACTGCCCTACTTGCAGCAAAAGCAGATCTTAACGCGAAAGACAAGTCAGGATGGGCTCCCATACACATAGCTGCAGAGAAGAATCAGTGCCCAAATCATTCCTGTTCTGCCCAAACAGGAGCCGATGTTAATGCAAGGCGAAAGTGACATTACACTGCGCTACACATAGCCACAACACTGGGGTTTTATGCAATGCAGTATGACTGCCCTAGTTGCAGCGAAAGCAGATCTTTAACGCGGAAAAGACAAGTCAGGATGGGCTCCCATACACATAGGCTGCAGAGAAGAACAGTGCCAACATCATTCTGTTCTTCCCAAGCAGGAGCCGATGTTAATCAAGGCGAAGTACATGTACACTGCGCTACACATAGCCACACAACTGGGGTTTTATGCATGCATACTGCCCGTAGTTGCAGCGAAAGCAGATCTTAACGCGAAGACAAGCAGGATGGGCCTCCATACACATAGCTGCAGAGAAGAATCAGTTGCCAAATCATTTCCTGTTCGTTGCCCAGCAGGAGCCGATTGTTAAATGACAAGGCGAAGTGACAGTGTACACGTGCGCTACACATAGCCACAACACTGCGGGTTTTATGCCATGCATATCTGCCCAGTGCAGCGAAAGCAATCTTAACGCGAAAGGACAAGACAGGGATGGGCCTCCCATACACATAGCTGCAGAGAAGATCAGTCCAAAGTCATTCCTGTTCTTGCCCAAGCAGGAAGCCGATGTTAATGCAAGGCGAAGTGACATGTACACTGCGCCTACACATAGCCACACACTGGGGTTTATGCCATTGCATATCTGCCCTAGTTGCAGCGAAAGCAGATCTTAACGCGAAAAACAAGACAGGATGGCTCCCATACACATAGGCTGCAAGAAGAATCCAGTTCCAAATCATCCTGTTCTTGCCCAAGCAGGCAGCCGATTTTAATGCAAGGCGGAAGTGAACATGTACACTGCGCTACACATAGCCCACACCTGGGGTTTTATGCATGCATAATCTGCCCTAGTTCGCGCGAAAGCAGATCTTACGGGCGAAAGACAAGACAGGATGGGCTCCCAATACACATAGCTGCAGAGAAGAATCAGTTCCAAATCAGTCCTGTTACTTGCCCAAGCAGGAGCCGATGTTAATGCAGGCGGAAGTGACATGTACACTGCGCTACACCATAGCCACACACTGGGTTTTATGCCAGCAAATCTGCCACATAGTTGCCAGCGAAAGCAGATCTAACCGAAAGACAGACAGGATGGGGCTTCCCTACACATAGCTGCAGAGAAGAATCAGTGGCAAATCATGCCTGTTCTGCCCAGCAGGAGCCGAATGTTAATGCAAAGGCGAGTGACATGTACCTGCGCTACACATAGCACGACACTGGGTTTATTGCCATGCATAACTGCCTTAGTTGCAGCGAAGCAGATCTTAACGCGAAGACAAGTCAGGATGGGCTCCCATACACAAGCTGCAGAGAAGAATCAGTGCCAAATCATTCCTGTTCTTGCCAAGCAGGAGCGCTGTTAATGCAAGGCGAAGTGACATGTACCATGCTACACATAGCCACACACGTGGGGTTTTATGGCCATGCCATACTGCCCCTAGTTGTGCAGCGAAAGCAGATTTTAAAACGCAAAAAGCACAAGTCAGGATGGGCCTTCCCATACACATGCTGCAGGAAGAATCAGTGCAATCATTCCTGTCTTCTTGCCAGCAGGAGCCCGATGTTAATGCCAGAGCGAAGTGACATGTACACTGCGTACCACATAGCCACACACTGGGATTATGCCATGCATAACTGCCCTAGTTGCTAGCTAAAGCAGATCTTATGCGAGAGACAAGTTCTGGAGGGCCCCAATACACATAGCTGCAGAGAAGAATCAGTGCCAAATCATTCCTGTTCTTGCCAAGCAGGAAGCCGCTGTTAATGCAGGCGAAGTGACATGTACACTGCGCTACACATAGCCACCACTGGGGTTTTTATGCATGCATACTGCCCTA